ATAATTATTAGTTCATTATAACAATAAATATTTATGCATTTATTCAAAATATTTAAATGAAGTGCACATTACATTCCAAAAAATACAAAATATTTAAAATATAATATATATTATATTATCTGAAAAATTTACATTTAAACTCAATTTCTATAGTCATATCATATGTTCATAAAAATTTAATTTTGTATAAACATTAGCAATTTAATAATTATTATAGCTTTTTTATCAATGGAAATTTTTTTTTAAGACAATTAAGTTGTCTTCATTAATAATATTAATTTCTTTTAAGTATTTTCTATTTTCATGCAATAAAAAATTAATATCTAAATATCTTAAAAATTTATAAATATCTGATAAGATATAATAAATTAATCTATTGGATTAATCAATTAAATCATTGTTTTGAAATATTTTGAGTATTGCATTTTAATCATATTAAGAATAAAATTTAAAAATTAGAAATAGTCTTTTATGTATAAAAATTAAAATTTTTGAATATTAATTATTGCAACATTTAGATTTCTCTTTAATAGTTCTGAATAATATATTTTATTAATTCAAAATTCTTTTCAATATTAGTCAGTTATAAATTAATTATTTTTTATATGCTATATTCATAATTTTTTATATATTTTTTAAAATATTCTACTTCTTTGAGTTTTTTGATAAATACTTATGTATTAGATACAAAATATAATTTTCATATCAACTCTTAAAAAGCAAGACATTGATAAATTTTGCCTTTCTAATATTAAATTTGAATTATTAATATAAATTTTTATTATACAAATTTACTATAAACTGTTTCTTTAAAAAATGCAAAAAATACTTAAATTTTCATTGTTTTTACAATTAACATTTGATGTGCTATGTGTTGATAAAATCAAACAAATATATTTGAATTCAAATTTAAATATTTATCCATATTTTTTATTTCAGAAATATTTATACTTTCTTCTATTGAAGAGAAATTTATTATATAATAATTTATTGATTTTTAAAATTATGATTATAATTGATATGGTTATAATTGGTTATATTTTTTATTATTGTTAAAATTTAAATTCATTTCACAAATCCATCTTTTACATTTTAAAATCTGGCAATGCTATAATATTATTTATTCCATTAAAATGATTATATAAATGAAAATTTCAACTTTATTCAATAACATTAATATTTTATTTCTTTTTTATTGTATGACTAGAGAATGCAATTCTTTTTATCATTTTTTTCTTCTTCTTCTTCAAACATTTAATTTATAGAGAGATAAAGAAAAAAAGAGATATACTTTTCCAATGAATTTTTATTAGATACAAAAATTATGATATATTTTGTAATAAATTTTATGAATCTAATATCTTTATACTTTTGCAATAATTCAAAATTATTAGTATTTTAATATAATATTTAATTTAAGATAATGCTATACTATCTATCTATCATCTGCTTTTTAAATATTTTCTTTAAAATAGAGAATCATGTAGCTATTATTATCTATTTATTATTAGTTCATAAGTTTATTCCCAAATCTAATGAACATATTCATATATAATAAAAATATATTATATATAATAAAAAAAAAAATTTCTTTCATTCATTCCATTTTCTATTTTTCAATAAATGATAATTTTTTAAATTATTCATGCAAAAATATTAAATATTTACTTTACCTGAATTTAGATTATATTTGCAATTTTTTAAATTCACTAAAACATAATATAAAATTACAAAAAAATTAATCATTAAAAAAAAATCAGCAAAAATTTCACTCAAAAATATTCACAAATTATTTAGAAACAGAAATGTAATATATCGATATCTCTTCATTGCATTATACTGCTAAAAGATGCATCTCTCACCATTAATCTTAGAGATTCTTTTTCTATTATTTTCTAATTATATCTAGTGACTTTCATTGCAACCTATCGACTGTTTTTTGATTTTGTCTTTTTGTGACCGGAAATGTATTTTTTGACAGAACAACTAATCAAATATATATTGATATCACTACATGAAAAAAACAATGAATGATCTCATCATTTTTCATATTTTCATACAATTTTCATATTTTAAATACATTTATATTTATATAAATATATTATATTTTAAAATTTTCTTTAATTTAATCTAAAGGAAATGATTATAGTATATAATATATATTAGTATATTATGTATTGTTACTGTATATTATATTGTATAGTATTACTTATGTAGTATATTATATAGTGTTACTTATATAGTACGTATGGATTATATTCATTAAAAAAGTAAATTACAAACATAAAAAATGTAAGAATGAAAAGAAGAATATAAAATAGAATGAAAAAATTGAATATATTAACGAAAATTTAATAATCTTTCTTTGTATAATAATTGACAGCATGATTCAAAAATAATCCAACAATTGCAATTTATGCATTGAAAATATTTTATTTCGTTTTTTATACTTTGCATAAACAAAATATTTATAATGAAACGAAGTAGATTATATATAAGAAATAGATTTAAATTTATTACTGAATATTTTTTTCTAGAATTTTTTTTTATCAGTTATAAATGAAATTGAGCAAGTTTTAAAACTTCTTTAATCAAATAAGCATCTTGCATCGGGTCTTTAAGTACTGTATGCAGAGAAAATATCTCTCATTGCCTATAGATATTGTATATAATTAAAAGCATAGTATCAATATGTATATATCAATATGTATAGTATCAATATAATATATCAATATGTCCTTATTTTGCAAATGGGATTCTTCTAAGATATTTAAAGAACTTAATGAAAATATATAAAAGATATAAACTTTCTTGAATTGGGAATGTTCGGAATATTCTATAATCACACATAAGATATACTTGTGCTATTTAACATAAATACTTAATATAAAAAAAAAATTTAATTTTTTTTAATTGCAAAATAATTATTGCTACATATAGCAAAAAATTTTATCTAATAATTAGACTTAATTGCAAAGAAAATTAAAAAATTTTGAATACTAAATTATTAAATAAAGAGACATTTATGAATTCAAAAAAGTCGATTTAAAAAAATTATTTATTTTATTTTTTTCTAATTATAAAATATCTTACAAATAAGAAAATAAAAATTATTGAAAAATAATTAAAACTTTTATAAAAATAAATTAATTTAATATAATTATGAATATTAATAGCATATCTTTAAAATATTCATATTAAATAATTAAAAATATTTCTGGAAAAAGAGCTTATAGATCATTTTTTCATAAATCATCTTTAACTGTTACAAGTCCAAAAATATTTCCCTAAAAATTCGTTTCAACATATAACAATTGATATAAATGACAACAATTATTAATAATTGAAATAAATGCAATTTTGTTTCGTATATAAATCGTATATAAATGATATAGATTGTATCAAAATCAAAAAGCATCGTAGTTCCACAGTCAGAATAAAAGAAATAATTTTGACAGAAAGAATCATTTTTTCCTCAAAAAAATTAAAGAAATTATTTTGTTTATCGCATATTTTATACATTGCGTGTGAAAAATATCGAATGAATTTAAATATATCATACAATTATTTCTAAATAGCAAAAATATTTTAAGTAAAAGTTGTATAGTTTTATAGAAAACATATGATAATAATTATTTGAGATAATGCTGAAAAAAGTCAAATTTATAAATGTTATGTTTTTTATTACATATTCTTATAACCTATATTGAGATATATTCAAAATATTATCTATTTTTCATAAATAATCATCAGTGTTAAATTATTAACTTTTAAAGTTTACATGCATTTCAATAAAATACGAAACAAATTAATCAAATTATGAGGATTGACTACATATTTTTCAGCCATAAATATTGGCCACACAATCAAAAAAATAGTTAAGTTAATTGCAAAACATCATAATTTAAATTTAACTAACAAATTTAAAACAAAGAAAACAATCTTTTCTAATTTTTTCTATATCTAACAATTATGATTAAATTTGAATCATTTATTATTTATATTTAATATATTATTTTTCAAAAATACTATATTTCAGTATGTAAATATAAATGATACTTACATTAAAAATATTATATAATTAATATAGTATTAATTAAAGTATAAAGTATTATAAAATATATAAATACATAAAGTATTCTCTTTTGTATTTTACATATATGTGTGTGTGTGTGTATCAATAAAGAGAATGCATAATAAAATATAATGTATAAAATATAATGCATTTTATGAAAAAGAAAGTATAATTTTCAAATGGTTAAATATTTTTGTGATCAAAAGTATTTATGTTTTAATATATTTCAAATCATTATTTATTATTTTTGAAAATAAATATTATATTAATATATACTATTATTGACACGTTTAAGTAATTGAGAAGATTCTTCAACTGAATATTCAATTAATGTACATTCAAACTGATCTTGAAAAACATTTTGAAATAAAGGTAATACATCTTGAATAGTAACATTTGTATTAAGTTCTTGACTAATACTTGTTACACCTTTTCCCTCAATACCACAAGGAACAATATGATTAAACCAATTTAAATCTGTATTACAATTTAAAGCTAAACCATGTGTTGTTATATAACGACATCCATGAATACCAATAGCACAGATTTTTTTATCATTTATCCATATACCAGTGTCAGAAGATTTTTCACCTTTAATACCATATTTTGCACATAAACGAATAATCATATTTTCTATTTGACAAACATACCATTTAATGCCATTCTTAAATTCCTTTAAATTTAATATGGGATATGCTACTAATTGTCCAGGTCCATGAAAAGTTATAAGACCACCTCGATTTGTTCTAAAAAACTCTGCACCTAAATTTTTTAATCTCTCTTCATCTTCTATTGTATAGATTTTATCTCTGATTCCTACTGTAAATACTGGATTATGCTCAATCAATATTAATGTATTACAATTCTCATTTTTTAATTTCTGATGATGTCGATCAGATAATATTTTTTGTAATTTAAGGCCAGAATTATAACTTAATCTACCTGTCCACAAAACTTTGATTATTTTTGTAGACATAATGAGACAATATATTGTATTATATATTTTTTCAAAATTTAATTTTTTTTACTATTATACATAATTTTAATATTTAATTTTAACATTTTATATCACATTTTTTTTAATATCTGCCTGTTTTTGTATAATTGTATGTAAGAGCCAGGAAACCTAAAAAAAAATATAAATATATTTAATATTAAAATTAGAAATTGAAAATGATAATATTAATAATAATAGTGAAAAATATACATAGGCATCTGTTGCAGCATATACTTTTTGTTCATTACTTAAAGGATATAAATGCCATTTACTTTTTCTTACTTTTGGATTTTTATTGAGTTTTCTTTTTAGCTAAAATCAAAAAAAAAATTAAATTGTTAATAAATCAGAAATCCTAATTTAATAATATAAATATATAATATAATAATATAAATAAATTGTAAATAAACAAAAAGATAATAAATATTAACTCCATTTCATATTTATTATTTTCTATAATAATAAAGAATATTAGAATATCGGATTAAAAATTTAAGATATATATAATAAACTAACCAAATATGCTGTTAGTTTTTCTAAACTCCATCGACAAGACCTATTTAATATTTCATTTGCAAATTTACCACTATCAATACAATTATTTTCAATAATTTTAGAAGCAGGAAATTCTTTAAAATCTCTGCCTAATTTCCAAATATCACTGTAAAAAGATAAATTATGAAAAATTTTGTTACATAATTTGCATTATAATGATGCTTTATTAATTAGCATACTTTTTTATGTTCACTCCAACTAATCTTACTTTTGGATGACTTAAAAGAACTACAAATGCTGCAGGTAATTTCTTTAATGAATATATATGTAATAAATAACAAATAGTTTCATTAAAACAAATTTGTGCTAAGGCTGTTTTTCCACTTCCTGTATGAAAATTAAAAGGCCATTCCAAATCAAATCCTATTATTATTTTTTTATGATCAGAATTTTCTATTTCTTTTCTAAATAAATTATAGTAAAATGTTCAAAACATATTAAAATTTTGTTTTTTATATTTCATATTAATTTTAAAATAATTTGATATAAATCTTACATAATATCATCACAAATCATAGCACAATCATTAAAATCACTGACACAATTAACATATCCTTTAAATTCAATTATTGGAAATTTGGATACATCAACTTCTTCCTTTGTAAAAATTTTGTTTTGCGATTCTTCCTATTGAAATATTTGCAATTTATCTTAAACTATATTAAACTACTTATATTTATAAATATAATTGAATTTATTATAATTTAAAATAGGTTAATGTATGCATTATAACATTAATTATACTTTATAATAAATATTATTAAATATTAACTAATTACACTAATCAAATTAAAAAATTAATATTAATGCAAATAATTAATAATTTTTAAAATAGATTTTTTATTTTTTTATTATACATTAATTTAATTCTCACATATGATATCAATATTATATTACATGTATATCAATATATATTATATAATTAAAGGAATAATAAATAATATTAACCTCTTTGGATCTATTAATGGAAATTATTTGTTGAGAATTAGATGCAATCATTATTAAAAAAAATAATTTTATTAATAAAATTTAAAATTTAAATGAAAAAAACTTTTTTACTTATTCACAAAAATATCTTTTTTATTTTAATTTTATATCTCATTCAAAAACTGCTTCTATTGGCTCTTGCTAGCTATTATTGGCTAACAAAATAAAATGTATTCATCAATACTACATTAAATTTTAGTATTCTAAATCGATTATAAATTCTCTGGATTTCAATCATATGATTTTATATTATTTCATGATCATTTTTACTTAAAGATTAAATTGTTATTCATGAATAATTATTTCGTTCTTAATGATGTAATTTGATAAAAATGTAATAACTCTATGTACTACTACACTAAATGTATAATATAATAATTTAAATTTATTCTTTTTAACGTTTCAATTAAATAATAAATTAAAAAAATAATTATAATTTAACAAATAAATAAATAGCTTTAAATTATATAAATAAATTATTATTTATATAATTATTATATTATAAATAATATAATAAATAGCTATTATAAATAAATAGCTTGAGATTATAAATAATAAATTTTACAATTTAATTTTCAAAATCTAAATTTTACAATTTCAATCAATTTTAAAAATACTCACTTTACATTCTTTCAACAATAATCATTTTAATTTTTTAATCTTTATTAGTATTTATAATTTTAGTATTTATAAATTAATAAAATAATATTTATATCCAATGATAAAAAAACTTTGATTTGATTAAATTTTATTTATTGGACGAGTTTTTGTTTATATTTTATTTGTATTAATTTTTATTTTATCATGTATTAATTTTATCTCAATTCTAATAGAATTATAATGGGAGTAAAAGAAGAAATTTTGATCTCTTAATTGAATTACATTTTATGAGATTTTACTAAATATTTTTTAAACATAAACAAGTAATGAATAAATAAAATGATTTCGAGAATGTATGAAAATTTTAGCAACATGTCTATGGAAGAATCTTTGCATGCACAATAAATGTGATTTTATTATAAAATCAGAGTCCTTTTCTTGTATATTATAATTTCTCTTTTATGTATTTGAATTTAAATTATAATTCTCTTTTATGTATTTGAATTTAAATCATAATAATCTAATTTTATTTAAATTAATGTAATATATTTAACAAGATCTGTCCATAATTAAAGCTTATATAAATATATACATATTTTGAATGTTGAAAAATATAATTCAAGATCACACCTAATTATTGTGAAATTCTTATATTATAAAAAAAAAAGAATTATACAAAAGATCTACTAGAAAATAATATATTATTGATGAAATACATGAAAAATTACAAAAAACATTACAAAAATCTTTTCTATTTTTGTTATTGGTTGGCAATTATCAATTGCGATTATTTTGAACAACTTATGAGTACTATATATTTATTATATTAATACCGTATCATTTATTAATATCATACATACACACATACATACATTTATTAATATATATACATACCTATATATATATATATATATATATATATATATATATACATGATTATACATTATTCATTCATATCATATATACATTTAATTACAATTTGTAATGTAGATTTAATATTACAATATTGTTCCAAAAAAAGCATATCGCATATCGCAAGATTAATTTATTATTTTAACTCAAAGAAATGAGAAAAAACACGAAGAATGAGTGATAACGACAAATCGTAAAGTAGTTTACCGAACATTATTTTTTAAAAAAAAATTATAAAAATTTGTTCTGTTATTAAATAATTCTAAATAATGTAAAGATTTATAGCTTCTCGCTTTTATAGATCTCTCATTTTTTCATTTTTCGGGCGATTTTAAAAAAAAGAAATAAAGATAGTAATGTCCTTTTGAGTTAGATGACTGTTAGTTTTTTTGGAACAATGCTGCATTTTATGTATAATTTATTATATATTTATTTTATGTATAAATCACGTATGTACATTATAAATGTGTATTTCTTTTTTAATTATTAATTAATAATACTATTGTGTGAAAAAAAAATTCTTGAAAAATATAATATATTTATAATGTAATAAAAATTTGGTATTAAATATTCTAAAATTAATAATTGTTAATTTTTTTCTGTCTAATAATTAAAAGATCATTCATATCTGTAGATTTTCTTTGATTTAAGGAATTGTTAAATAATTAAAATCAATAATTAATTTTGTTTGGTTTTATCTATCAAAAACTTGTAATATTTTTCTTATTTTAAATTCGTTACCTGCATGTAGTTAATGTAAGAATTGTTTTTATATAATTGTTTTGTTAATAAAAGATCTTATTAATCAAATAAGAAATTATTAAACAATTTTAAAAATTTCGTGCATTACACTCTCAAAAAGCTCACGCGTCAAGAATAAATAATTTTAATTGGTTATATTTAATATAAATATCTATGTAATATATTTATTACTGCTTCATTTAATAATTGCTTTTAACCTCGATTAGGGCCGGGTCCATGAAGTTCAATAAAACTTTCCAAAGAACGTGGTACATTTCCACAATATGATAAATTATAAGCATTTATTGCTTTTGCAGCCATACATTTTAAGGATAATTTTGTTTGAGTCCTTAATATTATTTCTGCTACACCTATACAAAAATAAAATTGATTATATAATTATATTAAACTTAATAATTTAAAATATTTAACAAAATAAATAAATTATATTATATTCATTAATATTACATAGATTTATAAAATCAAATTTATTGTTACAATAAAAAAATTTTAATTTTATTTTTTTTAATATAAATTTTTATTTTTTAATATAAATTTAAATAATTTATATTATATTTTTAAATTTATTTGAAAAGACCTGTAGTGACAGCATCATATGGAGTTTTTCCATTGCTATTTACTATGTCCATATGAGCTCCAGCTTCTATAAGTGCCATAATAATGGAATGAAGAGTCATAAAATCGCTGTAAAATTTCAAATATGATATAATAGAAAATAATATGAAATTATAAAAAATAATATTGTAATATTGTATTTGAAAACTAAATGAATTTAAATTCACTTTTTTTAATTTTAATGTTTTTTTTTATTTTATAAAAATTAAAAATTTATTAGTATGAAAAATTTTAAGTTTAATGTTGCTAATGTATGATCATAATTTTGTTTTTCTATTACATAAATAATGAAAAAACGAGTCACTTTGGCTCTCAGATATAAAATAAATGCATATCTATATCTAAAAAATATCTATAAAAATTTAATTTATTTAATAAAATTATACCTAATAGGTTCCCTATAGCTAACAATAATATGTAATGGTGTATTTCTTTCATTATCCATTGCATTTACATCAGCACCACAAGATATAAATAATTTAGCTGTTGCAGCACAAGGGAATCTGTAAAAAAGTTCATTTCAGATATTTATGCAAAAAATAAAAATATAAAATATTATTTTTTAATAAATTGATATAAGTTGGAAACAGTTGTATCAGAATATATGAAATATATGAAAAATATTTTTACATATAATTTGAAAACTAAATTGTTATGTATAAAAGAAAAATTGTTTAAGATGATATCTTTAATAATATATTTCAAGTTTATTGGAATATCAAAACGATAATACATAATAAATATGTTTATCGATATTAATGATATATATTATCAAATGTAACAAAAAAAAATTTATCTTATAAACTTATAAATATATTTATAAATATTTATAAATTAATTATAATTATTTAAATATAAATATTTATATTTATAAACTTACTTGCAAACATAATTAGTATGAAAATCATCTACAACAGTAGCCGCATTTACAGCAAGATGTAATAATGTTTGACCATCTTTTAAACGTAATCGTAGAACACAAAGTTTATGAACTAACTGATATGCCTTATTTTTATCTTGTTCTTCATATTTGTTTTCATTTAATGTTAAAAGTTTTGTTAATATTGTTACTATATATAATGTAGTTGTAATATTTGATTCAATCTCCTCCTGCAATTTTTATTTTGTAAAAGCTATTTCATAATTGTTAATTCAACACATAAATCAATTTTTTAATTTACAATATGTTGTTCAATATCTTCCTCAGAGCCAGGATTATTAACTTTAGCTTTATTACGAGTAAGTTCTATTACACAGGCTTCTAGAACATTCAATACATGAGAGAGATCAAGATATACTTCTATATCTATCATTTGTGAAAATACCTACAAAAAGATATAAAGTAGAAAAAGAAATAATATAAAAAAATAACAAGTTTTTTTTAATTATTTGATAAATAAAGATTTAAAAATACCTGTGCAAACCTTAAAAGATCTTTTATAACTGACATATTATTTAACTGTTTCAAGTATAATGCATGAAGCCAGAGATCTATACATTTATCAAATCTAGCACTATCTGCAAAAACTGCTCCTCTAAATACAATATGTTGTGGTAGTTTTGGATTATGTTGTCCTAATATTGAAATAGATTAAGATAAAATGATTAAAATAAAAAAAAATAAAAAACTCTTTTATGTATATATACTACTTATTTATCCTAATCATTATTTATTAGAATAAAATTCGAACCTAATATTCTTTCTCGTATAGTCAATGATTCCATATGCATATAATATTGATTATTTCTAATACTTCTCAATTTTTCTGGAGTCTCGCACTCTTTCCAATTATCATATGCTTTTATACCTTCGCCTAATTTTTTATAAATAATATTTCGTCGATCTTTAAATCTATAATATCCAAGAATTAGTTAATTGATTTTAAACAATTTATAAAATTATAAGTACTTTTTACCTATATTTCATTGCTTTCCATAAATATTTATATGCTAATATTAAACAATAATTGCGTTCATCATTAGCATAAGAAGCGCCAAGAAGTTCATAAGCTTCAATTGTTTCTTCTTTAGTAAGTTTCACATTTTTTATTATATATTCTACAACTTCAGCTCTAGTCCGTTCAGCTGCTACTGTCAATGGTGTCATTCCATTAGTATCTTTTGTCATATTTGTTCCATATTTTAATAATACAGATACTATATTAGTATATCCACGTTCAGCTGCTAAATGTAATGCAGTAGTATCACAATTTGCTTTTTCATTTGGGTTTGCACCTTTTTGCAAAAGAAATGTCACCTGTTAGAAATATAATTAAAAATGCTAAAATTCATATTATAAATTAAATACATAATTTTAACTTATTAAAGTGATAATTATTAAAGCAATAATTACTATATCTAAATGACCCTTATATGAAGCAATCATTAGACATGTATTATTAAACTGATTTAAAATATTTATATCTGCATTATGCTCTATTAAATATTTGACTATATCTAATCGTCCATCAAAACAAGCTGCTCTCAATGGAGTAGATAAACTTTTAGTAGGATGATTAACATTGGCACCAGCTTTTACTAATATCTTCACAATTGTCAAATGTCCTGCACCAGCAGCACACCATAAAGCAGTTGCTCTTTCAATAATGTATCCATCAAATTTAACTGATCCTTCCTGCTCCAAGTCAGGCTTAAATTTATCGAGTAATATTTTAACTACTTTAATACGACCATATCGTGCAGCTACTATTAGAGGTGTACAATGCTGTCCATCATCTTCCAATACTTTTTGATTAATGATAATATTAACCATGTTAGGATCTTGGCTACTAAGAAGATTATAAAGAATAATAGCCATACCATCTTTAGCAGCATAATAAACACGCGTTAAAAATTGTGATATTTGTACTGGATTTTCATTTAATTTAATAGTTTCCATTTTCTCGAATATTTATTTTATAAATTTTTTTTATATTAAGTATGTTACAAAAATACTTTTAGTATTGTATATAGTTCTCCTTCTTCACGAAATTTGTTGGTCATTCTAACCTTGAAACTTTCATAATATACATTGAATATTAGAAAAATCTTAAATTTCTTTCAAAATTATATAATATATCAATAATCTTGTAATAATATAATAAAATATTAATCAATCTCATTCACTTTTGTTTCACTCACTGCTATTTTTATAACAACTTAATAATTATTTTCAGACTTTCAATACATATTAATACTATCATAAGTTCTATTTTAGTCACATTCACTTCATTTTTGAAAACGTTAAACAGAAAATTGAAACAAACATATTTAATTTTTTTTTGATACCGTTAATTTACTTTGTACTTTAACTATGATGACATTAAAGAAAATAAACAATATATCAATATAAAATCTATGAAAAATATCGTTCATATAAAGCATAAAATTTAAAAATATATATGTTATTTTTAAGAGTTTCAAATTTCTGAATGTATTTAAGGCTGTAAAACACAATTTTATAAAAAATTATAATAATAAAATACAAACCTCTTTCCCCTTTTCTTTATACTGTAGAACTATTAATGAAGAAGTAACAAGGAAGAAAAGATCGAATGAAATATTTTATTTTTTATTTTTATTGATATAATTAAATTTTTATTTTTATTAATCAAAAATTTTTTTATTTATTTACAATTTATTAACATTAGAAATGTAATATAAACTTAAAAAATTAATCTTTAATCTTTTAGAATATTTTATTATATTTTTATCACAGTATAATTTCTTTATCATTCGTTATATGTCTAACTATATATCATAATGATTTAATAGATGTAAATAAAACCACGTGATTAAAATTTAAAGGAATCATAAAATTGATTTTTAAAAATGTTATAATTTTCTGTATAAAAATATATTATAAAAAGATCAATAATCTTATAAAATCTTAAAAAAAAATCTTTATTAAAAAAAAGAAAAATATTGAATTCAATTATATTTTCACGAAAATAATCAATTTATGTAACAAAACAATAATATCAATTTTGGACAACAAATTCTGGATAATTATAATTATAATTAATTTTCATTTTCGCTATGAAAAACATGAATATAAACATATAAATATAATATAATATAATATAACATATAAATTCAAGTATGTTTTTAAAGAACAAATAATGATTTTAAAACTACATACACGTTTTTCATATCATAGATTTATTTTTATTTTCATTTATATGTATATAAAAATATATGCATATATTATGATAAATTAGAACAAATTTGTATTTTTATTTATTTTTCTTTTTTTATTATTAGATATTATACAATGAATTTAAGAAATATAAATTTTAATATTAGAAAATCATCATTCAAGATCAAAAATTATGAGTATTTAAAAATGTTTAATTTTTAGCAGAGTTACCACCCTATTTTATTGCAAATTTCGGAATATCAATTTGAAAAACAAATTGTCAACTGGAAGTACGAACCATGGTATAAAACTTGGCAGTATCATTTTTTCGAAGCATATACTATTCTAAATAATAATAAAAATGGATGAAGTTGCAAAGCTTGAACATTTATCATTAGTGTCAAAAATTTGTACAGAATTAGAAAATCATTTAGGATTAAATGACAAAGATTTAGGTAAAAAAAATTATTTTATATGACATAAAACATCGATTTCTTCTCTAACCTATTTCATATATAATATATCATTATAATATATCATATAATATATCATATCATTTTTTTTGTTTTTCTTTATTAATTTTTTTTTTATTAAAAAATTTTCATTAATTTTTTATTTAATTAATCTATTATTCGATTATTATTATTAAATTATTTTATTTTCTTATAGCTGAATTCATAATTCATTTGGCAGAGAAAAATAATACATTTGATAAATTTAAGAAGGTTCTTATAGAAAATGGAGCAGAATTTTCGGTAATAATGTATAAAACTCAACTTTCTTTTTTTTCACTTTCTTTATTTTTTTTATTATTTATATATATTTTAATATTTGATTATTTTTTAGGAATCTTTTATGGCTAATTTGTTAAGAATAATACAGCATATGAAGCCAACTAAATCTCAGGAAAAGTTATCAAAATCTACAACAAAACAAGATGAGTTAGCTCAAAAATTCCCTGTTTTAGCTCTACCAAATGAAGAGCCAAAAACAGTAGATGATATAGTCAGTAGTGCTATGGCAAGTTTAGAGGAATTAGCACCATCAAAAAAATCTAGCAAACAGGATAGCAAAAAGGATGATCAATCAAATGATAATAATGATAAAAAAAATAAACATTCTAAAAGAAGTAGATCAAAAGATAGAAGAAGACATAAATCACGTTCACCATATCGTAAAGATAGAAAACACAAATCCAGATCTAGATCCCGTTCAAAATCACGAGATCGATCAAGATCTAGAGACAGAAGACGTCATAGATCTCGAGATCGTAAGAGGTCTAGATCGAGAGATAGAAAATTTCATAGGGATAGATATTCTAATAAATCTGATCGATCTAGATCACGATCTATAGAAGAACTTTCCATGGATCCAGAAGTTGGTAAAATTTATTCAGGAAAAGTAGCTAATATTGTACCTTTTGGTTGTTTCGTTCAATTAGAAGGCTTGAAACGAAGATGGGAAGGTTTGGTTCATATTTCACAATTAAGAAGAGAGGGAAGAGTTGCGAGTGCGAGTGATGTAGTATCTAGAGGACAGAAAGTGCTCGTCAAAGTTCTCAATATAGGTGGACAAAAGGTATAAGAATTTCTAAAATAAAATAGATATTTCATAGTTCTTTTTATAATAATTTAAGAATTTTAATAGGTTTCTTTAAGTATGAAAGATGTTGATCAAGAAACTGGTAGAGATTTGAATCCTGTTGTGACTGTTACCAAAACCGAAGAAGATGAAAAACATTTAAGAAATCCAGATAGACCTACTTCTTTGTTAGAACTTCAGGGTAATTGGGATGAAGATGAAACTTATTCTAGGAAACGAGTGCAAAGATTATCATCTCCAGAAAAATGGGAAATTAAACAAATGCTTGCTGCTTCTTGTATCGATAGGTATTATTTAAAACTAATTAAATAATTAAATTCCATAATATATATAGTAATTTCATAATTTGATTTTTATTTGTGTTATAGGAGTGAATTGCCAGAATTCGATATGGAAACTGGAATTCTTCCACGCGAGGATGATGAAGAAGAAGATGTTGAAATAGAATTAGTAGAAGAAGAACCGCCATTTTTGCATGGACATGGAAGAGCTCTTGGAGATTTAAGTCCTGTCCGTATAGTAAAAAATCCTGATGGCTCTTTAGCACAAGCTGCAATGATGCAAAGTGCTTTAGCAAAAGAAAGAAGGGAACAAAAAATGTTGCAAAGAGAACAAGAAATGGATTCTGTTCCAACAGGTCTTAATAAAAATTGGATCGATCCTTTACCTGAAGGTAATCAATTTATTTTTTTGTATTTTTATAAATGTTTTAATATAAAATATAATATTTACATTAAGAATACATTAAATTTTCAAATTCTATAGCTGAAAGCAGAACTTTAGCTGCAAACATGCGCGGGATTGGCCTTCAAACTCAAGATCTTCCTGAGTGGAAAAAACACGTTATAGGAGGGAAAAAATCTTCCTTTGGCAAGAAAACAAATTTAACTCTTCTTGAACAGCGTCAGAGTTTACCAATATATAAACTCAGGGACGATTTAGTTAAAGCTGTTACTGATAATCAAATTTTGATTGTAATTGGTGAAACAGGATCAGGAAAAACTACCCAAATTACACAGTTTTTAGGTGAAGCAGGATTTACTGCCCGTGGAAAGATCGGTTGTACTCAACCTAGAAGAGTAGCAGCTATGTCAGTTGCTAAAAGAGTGGCGGAAGAATTTGGTTGCCGTTTAGGACAAGAAGTTGGTTATACAATTCGTTTTGAAGATTGTACTGGACCAGAAACTAATATAAAGTATATGACTGATGGTATGTTGCTTCGAGAATGTCTTATGGATCTCGATTTAAAAACATATTCCGTAATTATGTTGGATGAAGCACATGAACGGACTATTCATACGGATGTTCTTTTTGGATTATTAAAACAAGCTGTACGCCGTAGACCAGATCTAAAATTGATTGTTACAAGTGCTACTTTGGATGCTGTAAAGTTTTCTCAGTATTTTTTTGAAGCACCCATTTTCACTATTCCTGGCAGAACATTCGAAGTTGAAGTCATGTATACTAAAGAACCTGAAACAGATTATTTAGATGCTGCACTAATAACAGTAATGCAAATACATTTAAGAGAACCTCCAGGAGACATACTTCTATTCCTGACTGGCCAAGAAGAAATTGATACAGCTTGCGAAATTTTATATGAACGTATGAAATCTTTAGGTCCCGATGTGCCTGAATTAATTATTTTACCTGTATATTCGGCACTTCCTTCGGAGATGCAGACCAGAATATTCGAGCCAGCTCCACCTGGTTCCAGAAAAGTAGTGATAGCTACTAATATAGCGGAAACAAGTTTAACTATTGATGGAATTTATTATGTAGTTGATCCAGGATTTGTTAAACAGAAAGTGTATAATTCTAAGACTGGAATGGATAGTCTTATAGTAACACCAATAAGTCAAGCAGCTGCAAAACAAAGAGCTGGTAGAGCTGGAAGAACTGGACCAGGAAAATGTTATAGACTTTACACAGAAAGAGCTTATAGAGATGAAATGCTTCCGACGCCAGTTCCAGAAATTCAACGTACTAACTTGGCAACCACAGTGTTGCAATTAAAAACTATGGGTATCAATGATTTATTACACTTTGATTTTATGGATGCTCCACCTGTGGAGTCTCTTATTATGGCTTTAGAATCTTTGCATAGCTTAAGTGCATTAGATAATGAAGGTTTATTAACCAGATTAGGCAGAAGAATGGCAGAGTTTCCTCTAGAACCTAATTTATCCAAAATGCTCATCATGAGTGTGCATCTTCAATGTTCTGATGAAATATTAACTATTGTCAGCATGTTATCTGTTCAAAATGTCTTCTATAGGCCAAAAGATAAACAAGCTTTAGCAGATCAAAAAAAGGCCAAATTCAATCAACCAGAAGGTGATCATTTAACTTTGTTAGCAGTTTATAATTCCTGGAGAAATAACAAGTTTAGTAATGCATGGTGTTACGAAAATTTTGTACAAATTAGAACATTAAAACGCGCTCAGGATGTTCGAAAACAATTATTAGGTATAATGGATAGACACAAATTGGATGTAGTATCTGCTGGTAAGAACACTGTAAGAATTCAGAAAGCTGTTTGTTCTGGTTTCTTTCGAAATGCTGCGAAAAAAGATCCTCAAGAAGGATACAGAACTTTAGTAGATAGTCAAGTTGTCTATATTCATCCAAGTAGCGCATTATTTAATAGACAACCAGAATGGGTCATTTATCATGAATTGGTACAAACAACAAAAGAATATATGAGAGAAGTGACAACTATAGATCCGAAATGGTTAGTAGAGTTTGCTCCAGCATTTTTCAAGTTTAGTGATCCAACTAAATTAAGTAAATTCAAGAAAAATCAAAGATTAGAACCGCTTTATAATAAATATGAAGAACCGAATGCTTGGCGAATATCAAGAGTTCGAAGAAGACGTAATTAATATTTATTATATATATATTTGTAAATAATATTTTGTACAGTCATTAATTAAGAAATAACATATGAATAAATATTCATACAAATATTTTTTTTTGTTTTTTTTTTATGTATGATATAAAAATACATTTTTATTATACATAGAATGTTACTTTCTGTAGATAATTCTAATAATATTTGATATTTATAATGAATATTTAATTTCGTATATAAATTACATATTTTATAATTTCGTATATAAATACAAAATAATTTGAGGCAATTATCTTCCATTGTAACTTTCATTTTATGTATCTATCATATGTAATTAAATGCATATTTTTCAAATTTCGAAAAATATTAAGACAAAATATTTTTGAATTGATTTTAAAAAGTATAATATAAGCGATACAGTTTTTTGAATTTAATATTGATTAATATATATGTGACATTTATGAGTATAGAATTGATTATATTAATGATTATTTTTTACATTTTGTTTTTAAAGCTAAAATGATGAAATGCATATCTTAGAAAATAAAAAAATACAAATAAAAAAGTGAAAATAATAAAATACAAAAAATATATAATTATTATATTTTTTGAATTTTTTTCTTGTAACAAAAATTATTAAATTATTAAATTTATTTACTTAAATAATTAAATAATAAATAAATAATAATAATAATTAATAAATAAATAAATTTAATAAAATGATGTAATTTCAATTTATTTAAAAAGATAAATAATTATTTAAAAAGATCACAATATTTTAGTAATCTTGAAATATGCTATAAAAAACATTTTAAATAATTTTTTTTTATATATAATTTATAATGCATAAGCATTATTCGGCTTTAGTTTCTGAAATATTGATAAAAATTTTTTGTATTAATACTAAATTTTGTCTATCTATATTAATATATTAATCTATATTAATAAGTTTTCGCTAGAAGTATCCATTCACAATAGGCATTTTTTCGAATCTGCGGAATACGAAAATAAAATAATTTTTGAGCAATCGGAATTATAATAAATAAAGTTTTTTCGTTATATGCAAATCACAAAGGAAATCTTAAAAAAGTTTCCATTCGTCCATCTAATAAAATAGATTTTCGATCACCTCACTTATGTGTATAATATGTATATTACTGCTACTCTTAAATTGTACACTAATTCATATAATGTGTACGGATATATTCGCAATGTTATAATGATAAAAACTTTTAAAATAATTCAAGAACTAAGTCGTTAGTTACAAAAAAAAAAAAAACGAATGCTTTAAAATTATTCAAAATGAAACTCTTTATATTATATTTCAAGCCCACAAAATCAATGAAAAGAAAGTTAATTGATTACAGATTGATTAAATTTGATATATGTTTAGTATTAGAATTTTTGTAATGCCTACCTTTATTTTAGTTTTAACCTTATTCTTTGAATGCAAAGTACTTAAGGAATGGATCTGAATTAACATTGAATTATGTTAAATATTTATTTTGATTTCCTGACATTAAAATTTATATATTTTATTTCTTAAACACTATTAGAAAAAGTTTTTTAGTAAAAGTAAATGTAAAATTTAGTAAAAAAATGTTATATCAAAATAAAGTTTAATTACTATATATATTATATTAATTAATTAATTATTTAACTTTAATTATATTTATAGTTTTTGTATTAATAAAAATTACTTAATTTTTTATATTTATATATATATATATATATTTAGTTTTGAGGATTTAGCAAAAGGATTAATATTGATATTTTGCCAGTCAGTTTTATTTTATGTATTTTCATATTATAATTATATTTAACTCTACACTCCAGGCTTGTTTCGCTCGATCGAACCAGCAATTCCAGATTCAGACCCGCGCATTCGATGCGTTTGGTGCAGTCTGATAAGATTACCATAAAATAATTACTCATAAGATAAGATTACACCTCATAAGATTATACGTAAAAAGCTTAGGAACCTATTTATGAAGCGATATTCTAAAAAAATCAAATATAAATAAATATTGTCGCCGTTCAAGGATTGCAACAATCCCAGTGGAGAGTCACCGCTAGAGTTATGGCATTAACTCAAGTGGTGACCGAGAGTCATCGTTGGAGAGCAAAGGATTAATGATTAAAATATAAAAATATAAAATATTTTCAAATAAAATTTAATACTTATGATACTCGTATTTTATATTTTACATTAAATAATAAGAGTTTTAGTTTAGTTTTAGTTTTAATTTAATATTTTATTTTTAATCACAAAATCATTGTATTAAGTTTACTTGATTAAATACTTAAATACATAATTCTCTTATGAAGATAATAAATTAATGTATAAATTAGAATATACAAAATATACAAATTTTTATACATAATTTTTATTTTTAAATAAAATAATTATTTTCATATTATATATATTATATATATTTTATATTATATATTATATTATATTATATTATATATTATATACAATATAAAATTATATAAATATATATAAATATATATTAATAAATCAAATATTTATGACTAGATTTACACAAATTTTACAAATTTTATTAAATTGAGCTATAATATTTATGTAGAAAACTATTTTTGTACAATAAAATTTAATAAATGTAAATTAATAGATATAAAATTATTATTATATCATTCTGATCATACCATAAAGAAAATAATTATATTAATCTATTAAAACATGTAAATATCTTTGATTATAAAGCTCTGTTGTCAATATACCTATAATTATTGTTGCATTATGTAAAGAATTAGCAGGATCTCTAATTAATTTAATAGATCGTTCTATGTCTCCTTTAAGCGTTACATATTGTTTATTTAATACAAGTCCTTCTAAAGATTGCATACCTTTAATTGCTTCTGAATTAGGACGAATTTCTATTATATCTGGTTCACTTGTTTTTGATAATGCTACTCCAGGTGAATGAGGAGTAAATCTTATCATCTGTTGTTCTGATTTTGATTCAGGTAATTGAGCCAAACAATATACTCCTATTGCTCGACTTAAAAATTTGCACCTAAATATAAAAATCAAATTTTTATATTAGATAAAGTAATATGTTGCAGTAATAAATTTTAAATATTTAATAAATAAGAAAGAATAAAAAAACATATTTTAATATTTTGTCTTTAGTCTTTTTAATATTTTAATATTTCTTTTTATATAATATATAAAATCTATTATTTTATAACATATAATTTTTAAGTTAAATAATAAATATATTTAAATTAAGAAATTTAAAATTTATACATTTTAATATTTTTATAAATATGAAATTTAAAATAAGTAATATTTTATATCATATATATATATATATAAAATTATTATATAATTTACCTCATTGAAAGATTGGAATTTTTCTTAAGGCCAATAGCTCCTAATATACCCCATCCTTGTCCTCCATCATCAGCAATTGTTAATAATGATCTTGCTAAACTTTTAAGAGCTCTAATAGCTATTCTAGTATTTTCATTATATTGACATTGTCTATATGCTAATTCACATGTTTTAGCCCAAAGGAGAGGTAACTTTTCTTCATTTATATTCCTAAAACAATAATATTCAAGTAAATATGCATGTATTGATACAATTTTTGTAATAATAATTTTAACTTACGTTGGTCTAATAGCAGAGATCCAGTCAACTAAATTTATGAGAAGCACTCCTTCTTCTCTAATATCTTGACATAATGGAAGTCGTTTAAGTAAAATAAAATACAAAGCAAGAAGCTTTCCCTCAGAAACTAAGAATGATTCCACTGGTGGTTGTCGAGGCATTATTGATTGTAAAATTGTTAAGACTGAAGCCCAAGTTGGTGAAAATTCTTCAAATGCTGCCATATAAATTAAAATGTTATATATTAAATATTAAATATAATTATATTAATATTAAATTGTATAAAATTAAACATAATATTCATAATTATTTAATTTTGTATTAGTCTTTAAAATTATAGAATTTTAATAAAATAATGTAATAAGAAAAAAAGATATATATAATATTTAATTATATAATAATACTTAATTTTAATAACATATTTTAATAACAAAATTATATACATACCATTAAATTTAAAATATGCTTCTAATGCAGCTTCCATTAAATCTCCGAATATAGATGGTGAAGTAACAATTGTTCCAATGACTTTAAGTATACTCATGAGAATTGGATTACTATCTGTTCTTTTTGAAAGCCATATTGTCCAACTAGTACGAAGATGTTCCATAAGAAATCCATTTTGATTTATAGCATGAAGCAATTCGGTAATCAATAAACTTGCTTCTGGAATTTGTTGTGATTCTGAAACAGCTGAAGATCTTTTCTTATATTTTAATTGTACTTTTAATTATAGATATATATAATAATTTAGATTATAAATATATTATATTTACTGTTTATAATAACAGCTTCCATATCATCTAACATTTTTGATAATGTATTGTTAAATATTTTTGGATTTGTAGATATTAAAGATTTATATCGAGTTGTACAAGTGATTAATAATTTTATTGAAGATCTTATATAAAGTTGTCTTTTTTTCAATGTAGTTGGATGAAAATGGCTTATCAAAGAATCATAGCCTGCTGCTATCTTTAGCAAACTATATGTAATGTAACATTTATTAGAAACTTTTTAATTTATGATTATAATTAAATTGATAAAATAAAATTATATATACTTATGTATGGCAATATCTATTGGATGGCATTGATCATTACAAACATGGAGAACAACTCTTGAATCACAACTCATAACATGCCAATTAATTATATGATCATATGTAATAGCATCTAATAAATGCCAAGAAAATTTTTCAGCTTCCATAATTAATTGAATTACTTTATCAGTCTGAAAATATATTATTGATATTTAAAATTATACTCATATTTCTATTATACTTATATTATAGTATATTTATATATTATTAGATGTTTTATATATTATTATATATTATTTATATATTATTTTTATATTATATTATATATTATTTATATATTATTAGATGTTTTAAATAAAATGTTATTAGTTTTTTAAAAACTATTTTGTTTTTTATTTTAAATTAAATGATTCAAGATTTTATTGTGAAATAC